AACTAAGCGAGATCTCTGCATAGAGACGTCGCATGAAGCAGACACTCACATTATTCAGATTGGTGAGGCTCTAGTGGCCATAACTACGTAATACTGTCTTCTGTTATATAGCTCGGTAAATGCTAAACCGAGTTAACCTCCATCTTCATTATTGAGGAGGACGTGATACATTCCTCCAAAACTTTAGTAGTCTTTTACCGAACTATACGGCATTACACCCCAGAAATGGAATCCTTCATAGTCAGCGCTGTGAGGGCTTACACGAAGAGATTCCAAGTCGGAGTGCGTCCCTTCAAGTTAACTAAATAACATACGCTGGAAATGATATCGAGTGCATGGCTTCATAATCTAAAGTCCGAACGATCAATTATTCTGCGTCTGGAAATATTTCCAAATTAAAAACAGGTAGCATCAATAGTTGTAAATCCACCTAGCTCTGAGTCACCAATATTCAATTCGAAAATTCAAAACGCATTTCCGTACAATTATGTTCTATATATATCTTGCCGTTTTGGGGAGTCTCTTTAATTATCTGCTTATTTCTATTCCTCTTTCTGTCTTTACTTTTTATCTCTAACCGTTCCTTCTAGCACCCGGGTCTCTAAAACGGCCGCCAAAGAAATATTTTCCTTATATGAGACAAACTCCTTCTTAAGTGCAAAAATTTAATTGTAGTTCTTCCTTCTTTCCTTCATTCACATTTGAATACATTAGAGAAATACCACATATATAAAATAAGTAAGAAGGGCCTACACATGAACGACACACACATAGAAACTTACAATCCCATATTTCAAACGACACAAGAAATCTATACAGTCTAACGGTACCTCCATCTCCCCACTACCCATTCCCCATCCAACACTCACCAACATAAAACACAGCACACAATACACCAGACAGCACACGTAGTAAAGATAAGCAGCGACACACACAGGGAGAGCCTACACAGAGTAAGTACAAATAACAGTATAAACATATAAGAATAACATAACATAAGATAGTAATACGAATATTTGCATATTACAGGCAATACCTGAACAGCGATAAAACAAGAAGTGGCCGTTGCAGCACTATAGACATAGGGCGAGTACCCCGAGGAATTTTAATTTTTAAAATTTGGAAAAGAACGGAAAATTTAAAGACATTTTAATATGAAATTGAAATTTTAAAAAGTGCCAATTTTGGAAATCAAATTGACATGTGTAGGTTAACAAAGATTTTATACATACATACAATTGGAAAGACTGGTGATTTTAAATTTTAAACTACGGGCAGTGTAGCAGCTACGTAAGAATATACACCTGATGATGGCCATTTAGGGCCGAAACTTGTAGTGTAGAGGAAGGAAAGAAGAAAGTACTACAATTAAATTGTTGCACTTAAGACGGAGTTTGTCTCATATATATTGTGTGAGTGTACCAGGATGCTTAAATATAATATTGTAAGTATTTTCATCCTTCTACCTAGCCACGTTCTCAGATG